ATAAAGTAGAAGTGAATTCCGCTTAAAAATATATTGTACAAAATTAAAAGAAAGGAAATTAAAAAAAAAACAAAAATTTCATATATATAACTTAATTGCGAAAAATGCCTTCATATTCCTATAGCCAACGATCATTAAAATTGATATTATTATTATTATTATTTTAATTTTAGACTAATAAATTGAATTCTTAGACTAAAAAAAGAGACATTGAGCACTAGCAACACAGGCTTGCTATCGTTTATATCGATAGCAAGCAAGAAAACTACGTTTCATCTTGAGCCAATCTTTTACACGTAAAAATGAGAAAAGTACTAAATTTTCATACTCTGTAGTATTGGATAGGCGCGTTTGTTTTTTCCGTTTTCAAAATACAAACTGAATATTATACGGTGTATATGTTGTATTTTATAAGCAACAAGTAAAAAATGCAGAAAGCAAAAAAATTCGTAGTTTTTGTTACACAGGCGTGTCCTTCAACCGGCTTGGGTCATTTTCAAATAATTTTACAAATTTGTAGGTGATACCTTTTTTCTTTTGGTAACAGGATAATGTTTACTGCAGATACTACTTGTTGCCACAGATATTACATAGTTGGGCAGATGGGCAGACGGATGTGTTTAGGTGCATTCCATTAATTAACTAACGCCAGTTAAGAATGTATACAGTTTATGGGGGTGTTGCTTCTGGGTATTATAAAGTATAATAATATTGGGTAGCCTTGGATAAAATCAATAAAATCGAATAAATGAAACGTAAAGGTAAAGCAGAATCACTTGAACATTTTTGGAAAAAATCTTTCACGTTTCAATTCCACATCACCGCACTATCAGAATAAGAACAATGGAAAGTGTCGTCAACTCAATCAATATTTCAAGAAAACAGTTCAGATGATTTTGTGTGCGTGTGTATGTGTCTTTGTGAGTGCTCGCAATTTGTTTGTGAAAAGAATCTTTCAAACCTAACAAGTAAGAAAATTATATTCGATTGTGGCTTAACCTTTTTTTTCCCATTTTCAGAATAAAAGTGGAAATTTATATAGTGTGTGTGTTGTATTTTGTGAATAACAGACATAAAAAACGGAAAACAAGGGCATTCACCGGTATTGTTGAATAGGCATGTAGGCATTTTGAGTGTGAGCATACAGGGCATACAGCGATCGGCAGACAAACAGACGGACCTGCTCAGGTGCATTCGCAATTCGAAACTGACCGAGGATATATATACTTTATGGGGTTTGTGAAGTTGGTTTCTGCGCGAATATAAAGGCGTTGGACAAAAAATTAAATTTTGGTAAACTATAATATTGGATACACCTGTTCTATTTTTTCCATTTTCCTTCAGGCACTACAACACGGGTGTAATGAGCAAAAGAACAATATTTTATTCGTTTTTACTTGAGACTGTGGGCGTGTCCCTCGATCAACTTCGATTCTATAATCTTAATATCTATTATTTTTAATTTAGAAATTCCAACAACATGACCGCCGGAAGTACGGAGGAAGCTGAACAATTGTTCGCAGAGAAACGAAAAAAACCCGGTTACGGTAATGCCTTCCTCGATAGCTTAAATAAGATGCGAATTAATCGAGAGGTAACTAAATACTAGATACTATGCAGCTATTGTTAGTAGAATTTAACATATAACCATTTGATGCTACAGAATTGCGACTTTGCTTTGGAGGTAGAAGGCGAAACAATATATGCCCATAGGCTGGCCCTTGCAATTGCTTCCTCCTATTTCGCAGCCATGTTTCAAAGTAAGTAGTTTCACAGACTTTTCAAATCGTCTATTAATACAGTGCATCTGAACTGTAGATGATACAAAAGAAAAAGCCACGGGATTAGTTAAATTTGAAGATAATGACGTAACTGCTGTAAAAACCATCGTTGAGTACATCTACTCTGGAGAACTATTACTAACTGAGGAAAACGTTCAATCGATTTGCACAACATCTGACTACTTACAGATCGAATGGGTAAAAAGCGAATGTGTGGAATTTCTTAAACGCAATTTAAACGCAACAAATTGTCTCCAGCTACGAACAATTGCTGGTAAGAGCATAAATTCCTGCTTCTATTCTTAGAGTATAAATATTGCTTTCTTTCAGATAAGCCACCGTTCAAAGAACTCTATGAATGCAGCCACAACTATATTTTAGAAAACTTTGTCGCATTAATCCATAAGAAGGAATGGTTAGAGCAGCCCTTTGAAGTCGTAAGTAAATAACTGAAGCATTAAGCAATTTGTATGCCATGAATTGGGCTTAGTAAAGAAAAGAACGAAAGTTGTATTAATTCTATGCCTCTCTCTTGTAAGAAGAGGATGTTAAGCAATATCTTTGCGGTAAAGCCATACGAACCCAAATTCATTTGAGCGTGCATTAGTGTGAAGATATTTTGTTAAGCAGATAGAATGCATTTTCTTAAATACACTTTGAACGCCCGCTTCATGTCCACCACCTGACTACGCCTTTTTTTGTGTCGATGTACCAGTTTATTGAAATGATGATCAACGCCGAAAAGTATTATAAAAACTTTTGAATGTTGTTTCCTTTAATTATCATTGGTTGTCGTTTAACGAACATTCGTACCTTTGCTCCAGAAAATTAAAAACT